AAAGAGATAAGGGTTTAGAGAGAAAAAAGAGAGATAAGGGTTTGGAGAGAAAGAGAGAGAGATAAGGGTTTAGAGAGAAAAAGAGAGATAAGGGTTTAGAAAAGAAAGAAAGAAAGAAAGAAAGAAAGAAAGAAAGAAAGATAATGGTTTAGAGAAAAAAAAGAAAGAGAGAGAAGAGTTTTAGAAAAGGAAGAAAGAAAAGTGAAAGAAAGAGATGCCAAGAGTTTTAAAGGAAATTTTATTTTTTTTTAATTTTTTATTTTTTTGTTTATATATTTTATTTTAATCAGGACTCACTACACATTCTTCTTTGCTTAGTTTCTGGATAACATCTTTTGCCATTATTATGTCTTCAAGTTTTTGCATTGCACTTACCAACATCCATTAATTAACTAACCAGCTCAGTAATCAGAAAGCAGGATTTGAACTCCAGTTGGGTTTGTGACATTCATTTATGCGCAGATACCCGAAAGAAAGGCATGAATCCATTTCCTCCCCCCAGCTGTCAGTTAAAAAGTCGGATGTGTCTCTAGAAAAATCATTGTTATTTTCAATAAATTGTGAATGTGATATTCACTAGCAAAATCAAAGAATTATTCTTACAATTCCAGATTTTTGCTTTAAATAAAACACAAAGAGTTAAATGGTAATCACTCAATCGACTGTTGCCATATCTGGTCTGGTGCCCCAGATGTTCATCTGGACGTTCTTGTCAAAAGGATCTGCAATGTAATTGATCCTGACTTGGCATCTCGACTCCAGTCATTTTCTCACCAAAATGATGTGGTTTCTTCTGTCTTTTCTACAAATATTTTCATGGTGACTGTTCTGTCAAGCTTTTTTACCTGATGCCTTGACTATATAAATTTAAGCGTACTATTGGACTAGTATCTAGGTCCCACCCTTTTACTGTTGAAATGAAATTGGAATTCCCTTCTGTTTACTTCCTGATAGCTACAATTGCCAAAAATTTAAATGCAATGTCAATCGCCATCATACGATGTCTTGAACCCTGATCATCTTTTATCATTTCTTCATTCCCCCCCTATACACAGGTTGTCTCTCACCTTCACTCTATGTAACCCCCTGCAAACCAGTGGCACCCCTGCCTTGCTTGGGGTGAAATGCTTAAAATAAAAAATTCTGTACTTGCTTCGTTTTGATGTTCCCAATATGTAGCTAATGATTTGAATTGTCTCTTTTGCTGACAACCATGAATTCTATCTTCTAGTATGTTATAGGATCTTACCCATAATAATAATAATGGACTATTCCATACTTAATAAATACTGCGCCTCAGGAGTAGGCAAGGAGTCAGTCACTCAAGTTGAGTCAGTCATTCAAGTCGAGTCAGTAGTTCAAGTTGAGTCAAGTCGAGTCAGAGGCAGTCCGAAACAGAGTTGCGTTCAGACAATTACTGCAAGACATTGGAATAGTGATACTGGTCGAGGTTACATTGTTCTCTCTACTAAACCTTATTGTTCATACTAACACTTCTACTTCTCTGTATATATTCCTGTTTGTAATATATCTGTGTTATTCCATACCTGTGTTCGAGTTCTACTTTATTTTATCTACTTTATCTACCTTGGACTATCACTGTGGTACAAGGAACCGGACCATAACATAGTATTAACCAGGTCATATTTATGATAAAATTAATAATAACCAGATCATATTTGTATTTACTCAACCCCCTCACAAGGTCAGGTTGTGACACAAGGTCAGTTTAATGTGGGGAGCCTGAGCTAGGAAGAAAAATTCCCGAGTACCCACAACCGTTGGTTGCACTGGCCTCAATGTGTGTACCAGTCCCTCCCTCTAGTGCAATGAGAGGATGTGACCTTGGGTAGCTGTTCCTCAGGGATGGCACATCTCAGTATAATTTTCCTCAGTTGTGACTCTGTCCTTTGACGGAGTTTCCCCTGAGTGCACTCTGCCCAAAGATGGAGACACAACAAATAACCAAATCATATTTACGATAAAACTTAAAATGTAAAAACTATCATAAAAATTGTTGAAAAATATGAAAATTTGCCCATTAGTTTGTTTTTCAGTAGTCTAAAACATTTTTTAGAGAACAGATTTCCTCTTCGAAAACAGCTTTGTTTTATACATGGTCAAGAACTTTTCGGAATGTCTGAAATTGTCAAAATTTGTTTCGTTCAGAGTTTCTTTAAATCATTTCCTTCCAAGCAAGGCAATAAAGCTACTAAGATGCAAAGGGTTACTGAGTGTTAGAGAATATGAGAAAAAACACTCTTAAGGTGAGAGAACATTAAAAGAAGAATTATGAAGACAGAACATAACGATTGACATTGCATTTAAAAATCATAGCATTAGAATTTCAGTGAAAGCCTTACAGCACAGTCTTATAAAATTTATAATTTTCTGAAGCTTTACAAATTGCATGGCACAAGGACATTATTACTAAATTATTTTGTCATCAAATAAGACCTTCATTTACTTCAAATGGAAATTATAATGAACAGTTTTGCTATATTATGATATAATATGTTATACAGTGTAGGAGGCATGGTGGAGTAATGGATAGCCGCTCGGATTGAGGAATTGGAGAGCTGAATTCAAATTCAATTGAATCCATTACATTCACTTGTGTGCTAATACCCTTGTGAAAAGTATGAATCCTCTTCTTCTCCACCCCTCAGCTATGGGTAAATAGCAGGACAAACCAGGTTCTGTAACCTTGGATGGCAACTGGTCTACTGCAGAAAGAAATGGCAACCTAGTGTGGGAAAAAATCTGCCTTGTCAGTCATGTATCAAAAGATATATTGTTAAGGGGTCCACCCCTTTTTCATACAAGTGAACTCAACCAGTGTGTACTTGTACTGCTGCCAGTGAATACCCGAAAGTGATACAGTGAGAGAGTGAGAGTGTGAGGTATCCACTTTGTAGGCATCACAGTTACAAGCACGTAGACTCAGAAGGAAGTCATACTTCGATACTGAATTTCCCAGACTGTATATATATTATTATTGCTACTAACCGCATTTCTGGATCTACTAACTGTATTACCAATTGTATTATTATGTCAATACATTTATTTGCTATATTTCATTCCTGCATTTGTCATTCAATTTGAGACCGGATTTCATCCCAGAATCCACAACATATATGATTGCCTAAGTGTGTATCACACATGGCACATAACTGACTGAATAATAAAATTGTAGCATTTCAGTGATCAGTGAAAGCCTTAAAGCACAGCCTTATAAAATTTATAATTTATTGAAGCTTTAAAAATTGTATATGGACAAGATACATGGCACAAACACATTATTACTAAATCATTTTGCCATCATATAAGACCTTCATTTACTTCAAAGTGAAACTATACTGAAAAATTTATGTATATTATAATGTAATATACTATGATTTAGTGTAGTTTTCAATAAACAATGCAAATTTAAAATATTTTGTCTTATAATTTGTACCCAGCAGCAGTATGGTGTTATATACACTTTTATCTATTTTTTGTGTTTATTAATTGAGCTAACAAATGGTGTAAGACTTTATTTATTGAGCAGCTTTTTTCATTATTTTTAATAATATATCTTTTTTATAACAATATCTTTTTTTTATAATATAATATTAATTATTATATTATAATATTAATATAATAATAATTTTTTAATATAATATGTTTTTTATAATAATATAATATCTTTTTGATATATGTTAACACTTGAATTTTTTGTTTTAATAAATTAAGACCTATCAAATAGTGTAAGATCTTATTCATTGAGCAGCTTTCTTTGTAATTTTTTACAATTTTTACACACTTTTTACCTATTGAATACAGTAAAAAAAACCTGCATATTTTGCTTGTGGTGATTCATAATTAGAATTCTGGTTCGATTATATTTTCCATTCAAAGTATCTAATATAAAAACTATCAACATTATTTGGATTTATTCTTACTATAAATAGATATCATTGGTAATTTTTTACTATAAAAATGTATTTTTATATTTTCATAGTGTTTTGATTTTTGATTGGGGGTCCACTATTTGCCTGTAGCTGTGACCCTAACTGGTGCTACCACTGTGGGTCGGGGTGAACCTGGGAACAACAGCAATTAAGAAGTGGTTCCGATCAGAGGCCTTGCTGTTGGATGTAGTTTATCGTCATACCCTGTGCCATAGCATAGTTGGTCAGTGTAGGTGGTTGCTGGGTGACCAACCCATCATGCGCCATGGTTAGGTGTCCAGAGCAGTAGATCACTTGCAATTTTTATACCTTCATAGTATTTGTCAGGGGGGGGTCACTATTTGCTCATAGCTGGTAATCTAATAAGTGCTGCCACCCTGGGTCAGGTTGGGTCTGGGAACAACAGCAATTAAGAGGTGCTTTCCTGCCCCTCAAAACCTTCAATCTCCCAATAAGACGCCTTGCTTTTAGATTGATATGTCCCGGCATGGGATATATTTGTTCGAAGTAGCTAAGTGGTTTTGGCTACTGTAACCGGGTAGGACAATTTAGCAGGTAGCCATAATGGACTGGTACTTGTCGTAGTTGTAGGCAATATGCTTAGGCAATAGGCGTAGGCAATAGCCGTAAGTGATGTACCTCCACATCAGTCTGTATTTATGGCTGACACCAGCCAATCATATTACTGTGACGGGGAACCCAGGTGTATGTATATTCATTACATCACAGATGTATAGTGGAAAGAAGGTGAATGAAAGAAAGTAATTGGTTAAGTAATAACAAAACAAGAGGTTGCAGATAAATAGAGGATTGAACAGTAAATACAAACAGAAGTGTGTTACATGACTTGGGAGTGTGTGTTGGTTGACCAGCATTCAGTCTATATCACCGTTCCCCCGAGGCTTACTTTCCTACTATTTTTATAGTAAGTGGAAAAGTCCACAATAGCCTCATTAGAAGGAAGACATCAGAATAGAAAGAGAATGCAAGAGAAATTGTTGAAAGAAAGAACGAATGATGAAAAAAGAAAAAAGTTACATTAAAAGATTATTTAGATAGGAAGGGTATGATCTGATGAGAGAAATCATCGATAAACCAAGCAATGTGGAAAGAATGAAAGAAAAAAAAAAAGAATAGTGAATGAAAAAAGAAGGTAGTATTTGAAAGAGAATGAAGGACTGAAAAAGAAGAAAGTTAGATGAAAGATTTTAAAATCAAATACAATTTGAAAGCAAGAAATAAAAAGAGAATCCATAAGAATGAGAAAAAAGTAGACAAAAACTGTAGAAATTTAAAGCAATGATGAACTGGATAAAAAAGAGAAACAATGTTTAAATGTGGAGAATTTAAAGCAGTCAGTTCATAAGAAGTCCTTCAGCTTTGCACAAGTGGAAGAATATACTCCATATATACCTTTTTTGTTACATCGAACAACACTTGAAGAACTTTACCACTTATTTTGTTCATTTTAAAGAGAAAATATGTCTAAGGCTGGAACATTAGAAGTATTCTTGTCCATCTCATTAATACAGGTCAAATGCATCAAGATATACATATACATATATAATTCACAACTGCATGAATAAAAATGTATATAATATTTTTTTTTTAATAGGATAGAGGTTTATACCTTGTTTAGGATTGGGTTTATGGTTCCTTCTAGCATCTACTTCAACTCTATACTCTTTTGAACAGGAGGAGAGGTTTATCCCTTGTTTCCTCTTTAGGATTGTTTCCAGTTCCTTCTAAAGTCTACTTCAACTCTATACTTCCAACATCTCCACCTAAACTCTGAAATTTTATTTACTATAATAAATTTTTGTTTTTCCTCAATAGGGGTAGATAGATTTGCCTATCATCCGGTTCACACTCCTTCCCAGACTTTTGAGCAGGAGTAGAGGTTTATCTATTATTTCTTGTTTAGGAGAAAGTTTCCAGTTCCTTCTAAAGTGTTCTCATTCTCTTTCATTCCCAGTAGCCCCTTGCATGTTAGTAGCATTATTGCCTTGCTTGGAGGAAACTGATTTAAAAAAAATAAATTAAAAAAATATAAGAGTCCCTTATTTATGCAGTATTGGAAGGGTGTAACATATATACATGCTATGTAAGAAACTTTTTAACTCCTTTCAGATCAAAATAAATTTATAATGTTTATAAATCTCCTTTATTCTTTGGAAAGTTGAGTTACTGAAGGGAATTAACTGAAACTGAGATATCCAGGAGAGGCATGGCACGTGGAACTAGAACAATATACTCCTGTGGACTAGATAAAGTGTTTGGTTCGAAATTCCAACATATATCACCTGAAGAAGGCTGGACTGTACAATGGCTGAAACGTTGTGAATATGACAATAAAGATGAGGACATCAGTTCAAATAATTTAAATAGTGTAAATATTTTAAGCTGAAGGGTACAAGAACAAAAGATTTCTGGATTATTCCATTTCTAAAGTAAACCAAATTATTGGTGAAGCTTCCAAATTATAAATTATTATTTTAAAAAGTAATGATTAAAATTGTAGTAAAACCTAAACATATGGTAAAAGAAAGTTTATACATTTACTTTTGTTCTTGAGAATTTACAACAAATATATTAAGCAATATTTATTTCCCAGATTGTTTATTTACAAGAATAATTTTATATTTACAATATTCTAAAAACCAATACAATTAAAACTAATGCAATGCAATATTTATCATTTAACAATTTGTAAAGAAATAAATATAAAAACAATTTTTTATCCATAAATTATAAATATTTACTAAATTATAAAATATATGTGAATCAACCATAATGAAATCTTTATTTACCATTTTATAAAGTTTGAATCAATTGGCAATTAGCCGATGTTTTGCCAACCATTCCAATAAACAATATAATAATGTAAATACACAATCTGATAAATAAATGGTTTATTTTTGTTATCAATTCTCAAGAGAAAAGAAAATGTATAAATTTACTTTCATCATGTCCAGGTTTTATTAAAATTCTGATCATCACTTTTTTAAACAATAAATTTATTGAGAAGTGAAGGTAGTTAAAATAATAGCAGTGTCATGGGAAAAACCATCCATTTTACACACCGTCTTTTCACAAGCACAAAGGGAAATTGAATTCATCATATTCAGGAATAAATTTCAACATGAGATATATTTTTATGCATTTTTATCTAACAAAAAGAAAACATATACAGGTGTGTACACATATAATTCAAAAGATCTGTCTATATCTCTGAGATGAGGTATTATGATTATTTACATTATTTAGATTATTCAAACTGTTATCCTCATCTTTATTGCCATATTCACGTTTTGGCCATTGTACTCTCTGGCCTTCTTCAGATGATTGGAATTTCAAAACAAAGCCTTTATTTCATCCACCTGGGTAGATTGTTCTAGTTCCATGTGCTATGCCTCGTCTGTGCGTCTCAGTTATTTCCCTTTAACTCAACTCTCCAAGTTTTTTGTTCACCACTTCGCCTGGTATTGAACTCATAACTCTTTGGGTCTAGTTACTGGATTCTTTGTCCACTGGGACATGTGTCCTTGAGAAGGCTGGTAGACAGGGCCTGAACCCATCTAGGCGGGTTCAAAGGCTATATTTTTGGCCGAGCATACGGGCTTGGAGATACCCACATTAAACTGGCCTTGTGCCATATTCAATCCTCGTGGGTGGATCGATAAATACTGAGAAGGCTGGAGCATACAACAGCTGAAATGTTGTGAATATGGCATTGAAGATGAGGATAACACTTTGAATAATGTAAATAATTGAAACGAGTATAAAAACACATACAGACACTACATTGGTTCTTGAAAATGACTGAGAGACTTGAAATACTTGAACAAATCAATGAAACAATATGAACTTTGGACAGTTTATCCACAGTTTTTATCATAATACTCAACACCTTATTCAAAAAGTAGAAAAATACAATAAAAATGAAATTTAAATATATATATATATATATATATACACACACACTACATTATTTACATTATTCGGACTATTATCCTCATCTTTGTCACCATATTTATTATAACTAATGAGATAACTGATAACTGACATCCATTAAACATGGCACGTGGAACTAGAACAGTCTAACCCAGTGAGCGAAATAAAGGGTTCAGTTCGATATTCCAACCACCTGAAGAAGGTTGGAGCGTACAATGGCCGAAACGTTGTAATAAATATGGTGACAAAGATGAGGACAATAGTTCGAATAATGTAAATAATGTTCATAATACCTCATCTCAGAAATATAGGCAGATATACACACTACAGTTCAAAAGTTTGAGGAAAACCCTGGTAATTTTTTAAATTGGCCCCCAAATTAGTTGTTTTGTACCTGGTTAAAAAAAGTCAGACATGATATTTTATTAGAAATTTTATTATGGCAAAAAGAAAAAAAACAATTTAAGAATAGATTTTGCTCTCGTTAAAATATCCTCCTTTAGCCTTGATTACTGCAGCACAAATGTTTGGCATTTGTTGCAAAAGTTTCTCAAAGTATAAATTTGATAAATGATTCTATTCTTTTTTCGATGACTCTAAGAAATCTTTTTTTCCCTCTTTTGTCAAGTTTATCTCATGCTAATTCTGGGGGTGATTTCAAACTTCTGAACTGAGGGTCTTTTCAATAGGTTTTAAGAAACCAGTTCCATGAAAAGAAAAGACTCCCCAGAACATTCTACTGAACAGATGCTTGACAGTACTTACTGCTAAATTCAAAGAGCTTTCAAAGCTTCTTCTTCAGATTTTAGATCGCTTATCCTTTGAATTTAGCTCAACTTTCGTTTCATTCAGGTGAGTCACTTTTATTGAACAGCACTGTATATATATATATATAATAGAAATTATTAGGAGGATTTGATAATTATATTTAAGTAATTCATCGAGTCTGAAACCTCAACAGAATGTAGAAAGCACTGGATGGCCATTTCGTCCTATATTTGGGACACATCAGCAGTGTGCATCCACTACCGAGGATTTAAACCCTGACAGTTAGGTTGTCAAGCGAACATCATACCAACTGCTTCAATGGGCCTCGGTGACGAAGAAATTGCAAATATATATATATATATATATATATATATATATATACACATATATATATATACACACACACACATACACACACACACACCACACACACACACAGATTGTGTAAGTTATTTGAGGACAGATTGAAAAACAACCGCATCTTAAAACAACTAAATTTATTAATGCAAACCTTGGTACACTCATGCAGTAATGGTTGAGTTACATTTGATTTTTTGTTTATTTGATATAGCCACCTTCAGCCACAATGATGGCTTCAATATGGGACCAGAATTATTAAGATTAAAGCATCACATGACCTGTATTGATATTGGGCATTGCTCGGGTAATAGTGGCTTTCAAGTAATCAGACACATTGTGGGAATATTGATAAGTCTCTATAAATTCAACAATGCCCCATATCTAATAGTCAATGAGGTTTTAGGTTTGACAAGGTAGATGGCCATATGTTTGGTATGATGTGGTCGTACAGATTGTCGTATCACCATTCAGTCTTGGGTCACCACAGCTATGTGAGCAGGTGCAGAGTCCTGCTAAAACACTTATGACTTTCTATCATATACAAGTTCTATCCAGGGATTCACAACTGTTTCCAACACCTCAGTGTAGCCAGCAGCATTCAACTATAGACCCTACTGAAAGAAGTGGGGTGGCATGATGTGTTTTTCACCACCCTTAAAGCTATTGCAGAAGTGGGAAAACTAGTGTGCATAACATGGGGGACATCAGAAGAAGGTGTATGTATCCACCTGTCATTTCCCCAGCTCACTTTTTGATCCTGGTTAAAAAAAAAAACAAAAACAGAACTTGCCAGGTTCTGCTGGATGTTTCGACTTGTTCAGTAATTGTTTTGCTTGGAGCAACCATTATTCTTTTGTGTGTGCTGACATGAACTGATCTTTTCTCTTCATATGACTTGTACTGAATATCCTCATACACTACATTGCAGATTGTGCCCTTGGGTATCTGGATATCTCTGGCAATGGCCCTCATTGATGTTCTGGGATGCACATCGATAATGTTCTGCATCTGCTGTATGAAATGTTGCGCACTGATATTGTCCGAATGCTGTTAACATATTTTGTGTTTCATTGAAGGCAACAGATCCCCACAGGAG